CCATAGTTGCTAATTTGTCCGCAACACGATTAACAGATCTGTTTACATGGAAGATAGAGACCTTCTAGGTTCTACTCAGAATTGAGGCAACATCTCTTATAATATTCCCTAGATCATGATCCTTGAAAGATTTAGGGTCTTCTAACATCTTCTTTAAAGTAGCCGCATCAGTTTCCAGCTCCAACAGCTTGATATCTCTTGCCCAAGCAATAAGTAAACCTTCTTTGATTGCTAATAGATCAGCAGCAACAGGAGTGATTGCATTGAAGTTGGAAGCATATCCCAATTGCCAAATGCCTTTATCACATCTTAGAACACCACCTCCACCTGCATTATTAATGCCCTTCCAGGATCCATCAGTGTTGCGCTTGAAGTACCCTTTATGAGGAGGAGCCCACAATATGGGAATAGAATCTGAAGAGGATAGCATGCAAACTTGTTCCTGTTTTAAATTAAGAGTGTGATGGTAATCCACCCAGAACTTATTAAAAGTAGAGTTAATAAAAATCATTTTTTTCTCAAAGATAGCCATGTTCCTGGTTTTCCATAAATGCCAAATGCTAACAACAAAAATGATTTTCCAAGTATAACCATTATTTAAATTAAAAGAAAGCTAATCCGAGAGAGTAGAGTTATAAAAAGAGTAATAATCAAAATCAGCAGGAGCAAGATTTTAGAAAACCAAAGACCAAAAGGCAAAAGAATTAGGGCAATCCCTAAATATATGAATAGAATTTTCATGGGAAGCTTCACATCGCATACAAAGAGGATCAAAGAAAGGAATTTTTTTTTTGAAGAGTAGTACCAACCGGAAGGATATCCCTCACTAGATTCCAAATTAGCATTTTATACTTAAAAGGAACATTAATCTTCCACAAATTCTTCCAGAAGGATATCCCTCACTAAATTCCAAATTAGCATTTTATACTTAAAAGGAACATTAATCTTCCACGAAGATGAGGCTGCTGTGTGGTTACAATATTAACTAATTTTTTGTTGATGTATTCCAAGTTGCATTTGGGATAACTCGAAAATTCAAATATTAATGACAAAAAATTACTGTGTAAATGTACTTACTTTGAGCTTTCGAGAGTTCCTTTGATTTTTTCCACCTCAAAAATTAAACCATTTATAGCATATAATTCATTAGCTGTCCTAAAATGATTATTTATTGTTGTTTATTATTATGTTGTTGTTGTTTATTATTGTTGTTGTTGCTGTTTATTGTTGTTGTTGTTGTCGTTGTTGTTGATGTTGTTGTTGTTGTTGTTTATTAATTATTATTTAATACTCGTAATGATTTTATTAAAATGATACATAGAACACATTATAGGTTTTCTTTTGTTTTCAATTGTTTGCATAACCTATTTTGTTTTTATTATTAATATTATAATTTATTTTAAATTTAGAATGTAGTTGAGGGTTCTGGTCCACAGCATGCTAGATTACGCGGTATTAACGCGTCAATTAGGAGATATTACCACAACATCACCACCGCATACACGCCTCCAACACCCATCCCACCACCACGAATCCAAACGACGAAATTACCCCGAAACCCAGAAATTCAAACCATTAACATAATCCCACAAAAACTACCCCAAAACCCATGAAACCACCCAAACACTCTTCGAAAACTGTTCAAACCAAACCATAACCCTAGTTGACCCAAAACTACCTACCACCAGTCCACCACCACAATTCAATCACACACTAGACACCACCATAAAAATAAAGTAGTAAAAAAAAACTCAAACCAAATTTAAAGAAAGAAAAAGAGGAAATACCTCACATTCCACGAAAAACCTCAAATTTTGGTTTTAAAGGTCAAATTCGACCATGAAAACTCTAGATCTAGTGTTTTCATGGTCGAATTTGACATGAAAAATCCTTCGAATGTAAACACTGGTGGTCGTTCTTGGTCGTTTGCGATTTGCCTAAGTATTATTGTTGCCTTGTTGGTCGAACTATCGAAGAGGAGAGGAGAGTGAAAGTGGAGAAGAGATCAAAGAGGAAAGATAAAGAATGGAGTAGAAAAGATCAAAAGAAGAGGAATAGAGGAGAAGGAAAGAGTGAAAGACCGAAGAAGAGGATTAGAGGAGAGAGAGAAAGAGTAAGAGGCTGAGAAGAGGGGAGAGAGTGTAATGGATTAGGGTTTTTTTTTTGCTTTATATAGTATGGGCCAAGAATTCGATTTTGGTTTTTCGGTTTCTCATTTCCCGAAACCGAACCACATAATTTCGGTTTCTTGGTTTGTAAAACCGAAATCGAACCACTTAAGAAAAAAATCGAACCATATTCCTAATTCGATTCGGTTTTCGGTTTGGTTTGGTTTTAAACCAAATTTGTTTCACCCCTAGATAGTTCATTATACGGGAAGGTAGTTTAGTATTGGAGCGCAACAGGGTAGTGGATGATTATGGGACTCATTTGGATGAGCAGGAGGGAGCCGGTGGTTAGCATAATGCTTTGTTGAGGACTCCGGGTTCGGTTTCGAGTTCAAGTTCGAGGTACGAGGATGATGGACCTGATGATGATGAAGATGAGGGTGAGGCTGATGTTGAGGAGCAGTTGCCTGTCATGACAAGAGGTCCTGATGGGAAATTTACGAGTTCCCAACCACCTCGATCTGCAGCGTCTTGGCTTGTTCAAGGGTCGATAGACGGTGGGCCCGAGGTTTGGGGCCCATGTTGCTTGGTATATTTGGGATGGGGAAGATCGACGGTGCAGTGTCATACTAGAGCTGGTGTGTGTAGAGACTTGACTAACTGGCTAGAGCGATATACGGCTGCCACTACTACGCGGATACGACAGACTTGGTTGTCGCACCTGCCTAGCATTATGCACGACCACCTTAATTTTCCGCTGATTTCTGCCTTTGTTGAGAGATGGCAACCAGACCCGAACACATTCCACCTACCTTTTGGTGAGATGACCATCATGTTGCATGACGTACACTACATGCTTGGTATTCGGGTTGATGGGGATATGGTTGCCGGTGATCTCCCTAGTGACCAGTATAGGACATTGGTAGGTGGGTTGTTATAGTTGACTCCGGAGGAGCTACAGGTCAAGACTCAGAATGCCATCCACAAGAACGGTGGCGTCCATACTGACCAGATTATTGCTAGGTGTCGTAGTGAGGAGCAGCCGGAGGCAGTTTGGGCCATTGGTTACATGTGGGTCCTTTTGGGTAACACGCTCTTTACTGACAAGAGCGGTACCCATACTCACCCTTCTTTTCTCAATGAGTTGTGTATGGAGGATAACCTGGAGAGGTCGACGAGATACTCATGGGGTTCAGCCACACTAGCGTACTTATATCGTCAACTCGGGCATGCCACCCGAAATGGATGTGATTCTATCGCGGGTTGTCTGACCCTTCTATAGGCTTGGATATACGAGTACTTTCCATGTTTTTGGCCTCACCAGGGTGTGTTGACACGAGACGTCCCTCATGCTCGTGCAGGGTTATGGGATGTTGGTATGACGCGGAAGCATCAACAGCATCTCGTGTCCTTTCGTACTCGACTTGACTAGCTGGGTGACCATGAGGTATAAATAGATACGTAAATACTATTTATTTTATATTTCTTTTATTTACAGTTGATTTACACTTGTACTAATTTGTTGGTATGCTGGTTGCCGTACGGAGCTTTTCCTGCACAACAGGTGCCTAGGACTATGTTTACGGGATGTATTCACTATAGGGGCATCATAGAGCCATATATGCCCGATCGAGTTATTTGACATTTGGGGTTTATACAGGAGATTCCCGGTGACAAAATTAGGCCTGATGATGCTCAGAGACCACTTAGTGTGAAGTCTTATAGGGTTAGTTTTTCAGCTCAGATGACCACTCTCATGTGGGACAAATTTGTCCCCGGTGCTGCGTTCAGTCTTCTGCTTGGTGGATATACTAGAGTTCCACGTGGCAGACATACTTGTGCACATGACTACCTACCATAATTTAGGAGAGTTAGCCATCCTATCGTCACTCCTAATGTTGAGGATGATCACGGTCTTCCTGAGAGGACCAACATTGATTACGTAAGTTTTTTGTTAGTTTTTTTTATTTAATTATTTTTTTTCCTATTATTACTGTTAATACAAAATTATAATGGTTTGTGCAGTGGGTAGAGCGTTTTATGGTTACGGCGCAGCAATCACTTTGTGAGTACCCTATGCTATCAAGGGACACCAGAGCAATGTTGGAGCAGGTGATTGATGATTGGAATGTAATAAATGGACTTAGAGATTAGTTGTAATATGTATTTTAGCTTTGACTTGTTTTATTAGACTGTGTTTTGGATGTTGTTAGTGGACATTTATGTTTTACACATTTGTTGGGAATTATCAAGTTGACATTTATATATTAGTTTTTTATTTTCTAATTACGTAGTACTTAGTAAATTTTAAAAAGAAATGCTTAAAAAAATTAAAAAAAAAATAATATATCATGTTTATTAATAAAGTTATATAATGTTTAATAAAAATCCATAACAATACTCAACGGTACACAAGAGCTAACTAATGTCTGCCACAACTGAAGCCTTCTCTCGTACCTTGTCTCCCATCCGTCTACACTTGCTTGATGAGCGTTAAACCACAATGGTGAAATTGGAGGAAGTGGGTGGCCACGATCCATATGCAAACGAATGAAAGTGATCCACTAATAGTTCCAATCACGAACTCTGCACTAGGCCCGTCTAAGCGTCCACAATTGTTCAATGGTAAAACAATGGTAGATGGATAGTAGCTAGATGATCTATTTCCTACTCCATATAAAATCAGTACCACATTCCAAATTGTGGCAATAAAAAAAAAATCCTGTTGTGCTACCATCCAATGCTCCTGTCCACACGCATCACCATCCCATATGATCCGGTCTATGAACCAACCTCTGCAGTCCTAAACCAACCTGTTGACCCCATATGTCGTAGTAAATCATGCTATGCAGCCAAGGTTGATCGAGAACCAACCTCATTTGCGATATGATGTCAAACCAATCGCCACTCCTCCTGATCTCCATAATATAAATCTGCTACGCAACGAAATCCGCAGTTCCCATCTCCAATTACGTCCTTAACACCTACAACGTAAGGCCAAATGATGTTGGGAATCGCGTAGATGTATCTGCATCGTCGTTTGTCAAACCCGGTACTTACAAAATAAAAACATAATTGACACATAATTAAGTTATTACACAAAATAAATTAAAATATACGATGTGTAAAACATTATTTAATTATATCTATAATCACCTGTATTAGATGGGGGTGGTCTACTTCTGGATCGATTATCTCGCCCATTACGTTGAACATGCTCGAAAAACGAAGGATCTCGTCTGTTCTTTCTCTCGGGAGGTTACTCGGGGGTTGACTCGAGGCTCCAGAAGGTCATCATAGTTAGGATCCATCTCACCCTCAACCACTTGAGACACGTGCCTAAGCATCACATGGTCGCTGGAAATAACCTGATCAACAAGGGTGCGACAATGAGCTCGATCCTCATCATTTTCATCAACTATATCAGGAATGTCGACACCCGCTCCAATGATTAGGGTCCTCCAATATGGATGAATGTTCTTCGTATACAACCCCTTCCCTGCAGTAATCGAGTCCTATATTTTGCACGCACAAGGTAACCCGTGGGTAGTACGTAGAGCATACCCTCAATGTCAATGGACATCCGTACTCAAACCTCGCATCCTGTTCGTCTCACCAAGAAGAATGGACAGACAATAGTGGGATACCTTTCCGTTCAGCTGATGCAAAGGCTCTTGCTTGTACTTTTGACCATGAGTTGTTCTACATGCCTCCAACCCATTACGAATGGCTATGATCTGGTTCTCAATTGAGCAGTGCACCTGAGCCCAAACTATGTCTAAAGAACCGTAGAACTGTCAATCCAACATTTCAATGCCCAATGCTGGATCTCAACCCTGCAGTTGTTAACATTGCCGAAGTGCAGTACCTGGTTCGTCCAAAACATCACAAACTTCTCGTTGTGTATGAGCCAAGTGTCCATAACATAGTCAATCACTTTCGGCCATCGACCCCACTTGGTTTTCAGCTATACAAGCTCTCTTTTATACGCCTCTTCAGATGTAGCATTAATCACATGCTTAAACCTCCCATTTTTCAACTTGGCACCAATCTCCTTCTTTTTTTCAAACATGGAAGTAACCTTCGCCTCAACATCTTTGTTAATATGCCACACACACAACATGTGTCTTGTGTTTGGAAACACGCTCTTCAACGCTGCACAAAGGCCAAGCTCCCTATATGTTAGTAGTACTAACGGCTCTCTATGATGACCGATCAATAACCTCAAGCACTGAAGCACCCACCGATAACTTTCTTCGGACTCCAACCTCATGAATGCGTATGCAACAAGAAAGTTATGATTTGTCGGTGTAACCCCAATAATCTCAAAGAATGGCATGTCGTATTGGTTCGTCTTGTAAGTGGAATCCATACCTATCACGTACGGGTATGGGCATAGCAAATTTGTCATGATCTGGTGTGCCATGAAAGCATGTTGCAACACATTGTTGGTGTCAGTCATAACCCAAGTGAGGTATTTGCTCTGTCTGGCCAAATGAAGCACCTGGTGAACCACCTCTCTTCCCTTGAATTGCTCCATTCTAATATTACTTCTGCAGTTGTAGACATGCCTGATGTTTGGATAGTCTCCGGGAAACTTTTCTACAAGAGTTCTCATGATATGCCGAGGTGGCACCTGTGCCTGAGTCATGTCACGTATTACTTGCTTAGCTGCAAGACTAAGACTGCTGATTTGTCGATGTCCCTCGGGATACACAGCCAAAGAATGATTGTGTGTGTCGTTCAAGAAACCGAGCTTCCAATCACTTACTACTCTGACATACTCTACCTTGAGTTTGAAGGGACAACTATTTGTCTTGCTTTCCGTGTCTTTGTGTATCGTATTCATCATGTCTCTTATCATGCTCTTTTTTCCATGATCACAACTCACATATCAATACGGCCGACCACTGCTGTTTAGGGTAAAAGTACCCTGTCCACGTGGCCCAATCACGTGCTGACACGTGTCAGCATCAGAGGGGTTATGAGGGAACCAATCCTCTGGAAAAACGTGGCACTCTAGCATATGAAAGGGGAACTGATCACCTCTCACTGTAAATAGAGGAAAATCCTCATTTATTACATATTTATAAGGATACACACCAAACCCGAGCAATATTAATTGTCGAATTCTCACGGAATCCGAGAGAAAAACCTTTACATTCCGTACTTTAATACATCCGGAAACGTTCTAACTTGATCTTCGGAGGCGGAACTCCACCCAACCGGAGTTTTTGTGGTTTTGTAGGTACAGACGGTCGACACGCATTCTTGGAATTGTAACTCTCCCAAGGGACTCTAAAAACGCCGAAATATTTAGCGCCATCTGTGGGGAGAGTAATTCTGAGATGGCATCAGAGTCTGTACCGCCTGCTGAAGGCAAACGGTCTATGGCCGAAATTGAGGTCCACACGGACCAAGATATTAGTGACGACTTTGAGGTCGACACCTACGTGGCCCAGACTGGTCATTCAGAACGAGACCCCATTCCAAGGAAACAAGGGAACGGGGCGAAGACAAAGCTGGTCCTAGCAGCCCAACCGTCAAGCCGGGTGGACGACCCATGCGGCAGAAGGTGCTGCCCCCATAACTAGAGACGAACTCATTAAATTCATGACAAGTTTCAAAGGGGAGATCAAGGACATGATAAACAAGTCAACTGGCACCAACAAGGGTGATAGGACCATAAAAGTATATTATTTTTATATATTAAACTCTTGATTTTATATTGGCATTTGATAATTTAAGAGTATAATAAGTAATTTTCTATCCTATACATGAGTTACTACTATTTTATTTATTTGTTTGCAGGAAAGAAAATATCGGTATCAAATTGCATTCTACGCCACTTTGATTAAGAGAAGCAAAATTTACAAGCCAGTTGACTTTCAAATATTTCAAGCCCAATATTGTTTTATTGTGTAGGCTTTTACATTTGGGCCTTGAATGAAAATATCTTCCTACTTAGCTGAGTGAAGAAAAGAGGCAGCTCAAGAACATTTCTCCTTGCTCTAAAGCATAGAGTTTTTCGCCGACTTCCACAGAGAACAAACCGTCAAACAAGATGATAAAGATGAAATTGGATAATTATTGGAGCGAAATACTCGGAGCAACGGAGATGAATCAAAGGCTAGTTCCTTATATTTCGGTTAGGGAAGTTTTTGAGTGTTATCAGATCCGTAATTTTGGGGAGCAAAATGGAGGGAATATAATCTGAATTTCGGCGGAGAGTTGCGAGATCGAAGAGTGAACAGAGGTGGTAGACGAGTGAACAGAGGTGGCTTGGTTCTGTGCATGGTTACTCTGATCATCTACTGGAAGCTTTTGGTATTTTATATATTTTGTTTACATTCAATTGTCAGCTACTTGTTTTTACTTTGGATTAGCAGTAGAAGTTTTGTTTAGAAAATGGAAATAATAAAGTTAGTGCTTCCTTAATTTGTTCTTGAATGCGTCAGTTACTCCTGGGAATTATACTTTGATTGCTTAATATATTTTCTAGTATCTATTTCTATTTTGCTTTGTTAACTAGTTTGACTATGAATTCTATATGTTCTAGTATGATAACCTCAATATTTGTTATGTTAGGCTAAATTATTAGAGGGGTAGGGAGATCAATTATGCATTGGATTATTGGATTGTGAGAATTGATATGTTGTAGTCCTTGGGTATTATGTTTATATTCTTAATTGGTTTGATAATCCGCTTGAATTACGAACTAGTTGATTATGTTTGAGACCGGCCATCTTTAGTATAATTTGTTAGTTTGACGACTAGAATTTTAGCTTGTGATCCGTAATTGTTCTAGCTAATACCATTAGTAGTGATCAGGTGTGTGATTGGTGACTAAAACTTGTCTCACACCTAAGATTATCAACCCTTTGAGTTGCACAAGTCCGAGCTTGTGAGACTTGTGGCTTAAGTTAACTACTTCCTTGTTATTAATGCAGCTAATTAATCGAGTCTAGAGAGCTTGTTCTAGATTATTAGTTAGTTAGACAATATTCCGAGAGCTCGTTTGGTATATATGCAATTAAGGGAAGTTTTGAATGCTTGTTTGTGTTCCTTGGTTAACATTAAGATATAAATGTAATTCGTATAATTCGATGAGCAATAATTGATACTCCAATGCTATAATACATCTCCCGATTCCCTATTTCATTATTTTTGATTTTATCGTATTTTAATTTTTATTAGTTTACTTCTCCGTGCTTTATTTGTTATCTAGTTAGTAGTTTATTTATTAGATCATATCATTGTTTCTTCAAAACAGGGGTTTCTAACTTACACAAGTAATAATTTGATAATCCAATTCTCTGTGGGATCGACCCTAACTTACCCTACTACATTTTAGGAGGTTTTAGTTAGGTTTATATTTGGTAGACACGCGACAGTCGTATCAAATTTTGGCGCCGTTGCCGGGGAATTGGCGTTTTATTTTATTATTTCTTGTGTTTTTCTAACTGTTCTTACTAACTTGTCACCTAGTTCCTTGTTCTTGTATGTGTGACAGAAATTTTCAACATCAAAGATTGAGAAATTTTGCGGCAAGGAACCAGGGACTTATAATTAATCCTTTTTCTACTCTTCCTGTAGCTAAAAGGACTCGTGCTCATATACTGGAGCAAGCTCGTCATATTCCGTTACCTCACAGTGAAAGTTCATCTTCGGACGAGGAGGGTGAATATATTTTTGAGATGGGTGATCAAACACTAAAGCAGCTTGCAGCTCCAACGTTTGATCCAAATTTATTGTGCATAGTAGACGATGAGGCAGAAATTGAGATCAAGCCGGGGTTGATTAGAGCTCTTCCCACATTTTCAGGTTTCCGTAATACTAACTCCTTGGGTTCAGTTCACATGAATGAGGCTAGCAGATTTTTGAAGAAATTTCACATAGCATGTGCGGGGATGAAACCGGCTGGTGTCACCCTCGACCAGCTCAAGTTGAAGGCATTTCCTTTTGCCTTGTCTGATGGTGCCAAGGAGTGGTTATTTGAAGTACCTGCTGGAACCATCACAACATGGGATCAAATGCTAAAAGTATTCGCAGAAAGATATTTTCTAGCATCTTTGATAGCCAATATCAGGAAAGAAATATGTGGAATTCGACAGGACGATGCAGAGACACTTCATGAGTACTGGGAACGTTTCAAGAAACTATGTGATAGTTGCCCAAACCATCAGATCAGTGAGCAATTATTAATACAGTACTTTTACGAAGGACTCAGGGAGACAGACAGGAATCTAGTTGATGCAGCAAGTGGTGGAGCACTGGTTGACAAAACACCCGCAGAGGCAAAGAAACTGATTGCAAACATGGCTGCAAACTCTCAGTATCGAGGAGGTCGAAATATCACGTCCACCTCTATACGTCAAGTTAATGAAGTGGTGAGTTCTAACCTCGAGCAACAAGTAGCTAAACTCACTTCCTTAGTGGAGCGAGTAATGATCGAAAAAGGGCAAGAAAAAGTATGTGGCCTTTGTTCAATGGTAGGACACCCAACTGATATGTGTCCTACTCTGCAAGAAGAAGAAGTGAATTCGATTGGTGGTGGTCAGGGGCAGCAAAGACGTTATGATCCATTCTCTCAGACTTATAATTCGGGGTGGAGAGATCATCCAAACCTGAGATATGGTAATGCTCAGCAGCAGGCAGGCAACTCTAACCTCAGACCACCAGCTTTCCAGCAACAGCAAGCTTCTAATCCTCCACCTGGGTTTCATCAGCAACCACAATATCAGCCGCGACCTCAAAATCAACAAGTTTCCCAGCCACAATCTGGTAGCATGTCTCTGGAAGATATTGTGAAGGCAATGGCTGACAACACTTTGCATTTCCAGCAAGAGACAAGAAGTGGTCTAAAGAACTTGGAGAACCAAGTTTCTCAGTTAGCTAACACAGTGGGAAAGCTCCAAGCTCAGAACTCTAATAAGCTTCCGAGTCAACCAGAGAGAAATCCAAAGGAGAACGTGAGTGCAATCTCCCTGAGAAGTGGCAAGCAATTAGAGGTTCCAACGAAAAAGACTGAAGAGCTGGCAGCACACCAAGAGGAACAAAGGACTATTGTTCCAGAGCAAGATAAGCAGCCCACTAAGGTAAGAGATGTTGTTTCTCCCAATACTGATCAGTTTACTTCTTCTATTCCATTTCCCAGCAGGTTATCATCTAAGAATAAGAAGAGAGAGCAAGAAAAGGAGAAAGAGACCCTGGACATTTTTCGCAAGGTTGAGGTAAACATACCTTTACTGGAAGCTATAAGACAAGTGCCGCGGTATGCAAAGTTTTTGAAGGAGTTATTCACTAACAAGAGGAGATTGAGTGGAGATGAAAAAGTCAGTGTAAGTGAGAATGTGTCTGCTGTTTTACAGAGGAAAGTTCCTCCAAAGTGCAAGGATCCAGGTATTTTTACTATACCATGTAAAATAGGTAACACGAGATACGATAAATGCATGCTAGATTTAGGAGCTTCTATTAATGTCATGCCTTTATATATCTATAAAGCTCTGAACTTAGGACCTTTGAAAGACACTCGAGTGATTATTCAGCTTGCTGACCGTTCTAATACATACCCTGTAGGAGTAGTTGAGGATGTTTTAGTGCAAGTGAATGAACTGGTATTTCCTGCTGATTTTTATGTTTTAGATATGCCAAATGATGAATCCCCTAGTGCAGCACCTATCTTATTAGGAAGACCTTTTCTGAAAACATCTAGAACTAAAATTGATGTTCACAATGGGGTGTTGACCATGGAATTCGATGGGGAGGTTATCTGGTTTAATTTATTTGATGCCATGAGATATCCCTCTGATTGTGAATCTGTTTCTAGTATAGATGTCATTGATGCACTAACTGAGCAGGTATTCTTTCTCTCTGGTCATGATGGGTTAGATGTTGTTTTGACTGCGCCTATGGAAAAAGAAAAGTATACTGACTTGCAGGAACATTTTGAGCTTAAGGGGGAGTTAAGGAAGCTTTTTCCTCTCTGGAAATACTTCCTGATAAGCAATTAAGGTATGACAAACGGTTTATGCAGTTACCTGTCACTTCTAACAGATTGTTACCTTCTATTGTACAGGCCCCTGAAGTGGAACTAAGACCATCTCAAGTATGCATTTTTGGGAGAAAATGACACTTTGCTAGTCATAATCGCGAGTAATCTAACTCCGAATCAAGAGCAAAAGCTGGTGCAAGTTCTGAAGGAACATAAAACAGCTCTAGGGTGGACAGTTGCTGATATAAAAGGAATTAGCCCCTCTATGTGTCAGCATAGAATCTTATTAGAAGAGGGAGCTAAACCCGTGAGACAAGTGCAGCGACGACTTAATCCACCTATGATGGAAGTGGTGAAGAAAGAAGTAATGAAGCTTTTTGAAGTAGGGGTGATATACCCTATATCAGATAGCCCTTGGGTCCGTCCCTTGCAAGTGGTCCCAAAAAAGTCAGGAGTCACAGTGGTGGAAAACGATAAGGGAGAAATGGTTCCCACCCGAGTACAAAATGGGTGGAGAGTTTGTGTAGATTACAGAAAACTCAATTCTTTGACTCGAAAAGATCATTTTCCCTTACCATTTATTGATCAAATGGTAGAACGTCTTGCTGGTCATGCTTATTACTGTTTTCTTGACGGTTTTTCAGGTTATGTGCAGGTCCCTATAACTCCGGAGGATCAAGAAAAAACGATGTTCACATGCCCGTACGGCACGTTTGCGTATCATCGTATGCCATTTGGACTGTGCAATGCTCCAGCGACTTTTCAGAGATGTATGGTAAGCATCTTTTCAGATTACCTTGAAAATTTCATAGAAGTTTTCATGGATGATTTCACTGTACATGGAGATTCTTTTGATAGATGCTTAGAACACCTCACTTTGATCCTTAAACGTTGTCTTGAAACTAATCTTGTGCTTAATTCTGAAAAATGTCATTTCATGGTTCAACAAGGTATAGTTTTAGGCCATATTGTGTCGTCTGAAGGAATAAAAGTTGATAAAGCTAAAATAGATCTTATTTCTTCTCTGCCTTACCCCACCTCTGTGCGGGAAGTTTTATCTTTTCTTGGCCATGCAGGGTTCTATCGCAGGTTTATCGAAGGATTCTCGAAGACTGCGCAACCACTATGCAAACTACTCCAAAAGGATGTGGAGTTCCACTTTGATGAGGCCTGTAAGCAGGCATTTGACAAGCTGAAAGACAAGTTGGTCACTGCCCCTGTTCTAAAACCTCCTAACTGGGAGCTCCCATTCGAGCTGATGTGCGACGCTTCTAACTATGCTGTAGGGGCAGTGCTAGGCCAGCGAGTTGGAAAAGTTCCCCATGCCATCTACTATGCCTCAAGGACTTTGGATGCAGCTCAAGCTAATTATACTACAACTGAGAAAGAACTTTTAGCTGTAGTTTATGCTTTAGACAAATTCAGGTCTTATTTATTGGGTACTAAAATTATTGTGTTTACTGATCATCCAGCGCTGAAATATTTATGGTCAAAGGATGTATCCAAACCTAGGCTAATACGTTGGATTTTATTGCTTCAACAATTTAATGTTGAAATAAAAGATAAAAAAGGTTCTGACAATAGTGTTGCTGATCACTTGAGCAGGTTAGTTATTGAAGCTGATGAAGGTCACGCCCCAATCAATGAAGAGTTCCCCGATGAGCAACTTCATGCCTTGAACTCAGGAACTCTGTGGTATGCTGATTTGGTGAATTTTCTAGCATCTGGGAAGTTTCCAGCCAGCTACACCAAGGCACAAAAGGACCGGATGCGTAGTATAGCAAAATACTACATATGGGATGACCCATACCTCTGGAAATACTTTGCTGATCAACTAATCAGAAGGTGCGTACCCGATTCTGAAATTCTGTCTATACTAACTTTCTGCCATTCTTATGCATGTGGGGGACATTTTGGACCAAAGAGAACCGCACGCAAGGTTTTAGAGAGTGGATTCTACTGGCCATCCATATTTAAAGATGCATATGAAATCTGTAAGGCATGTGATAGTTGTCAAAGAACAGGTACACTAGGTCCTAGGAATGAAATGCCCCAAACTCCTATCTTAATATGTGAAATCTTCGACGTTTGGGGTATGGATTTTATGGGTCCCTTCCCCTCTTCTTTCGGTTTTCAAAATATTTTGCTTGCTGTCGATTATGTCTCGAAATGGGTGGAAGCTATAGCCACCCGTACTGATGATTCTAAAGTTGTTGCAGAATTTTTGAAATCAAATATTTTTGCTAGATACGGATTCCCGAGAGCCATCATCAATGACAAGGGGACACACTTTTGCAATAAGACAATAGGAGCTCTCTTGAAGAAGTATAATGTGTTTCATCGAGTGTCCACTGCATATCACCCACAAACAAATGGACAGGCAGAAGTCTCCAATCGAGAAATCAAGTCCATTCTAGAGAAGACTGTGAATCCAAACAGGAAAGATTGGAGTCTCCGCCTCAACGATGCACTGTGGGCGTACAGAACAGCGTATAAAACTTCGATCGCGATGTCTCCTTACAGGCTTGTGTTTGGTAAACCTTGCCATCTGCCAGTAGAATTGGAACACAAAGCCTTTTGGGCCGTGAAACAATGCAATATGGAAATGGATGCAGCAGGGGAGCACAGGAAACTTCAATTGCAAGAACTTGAGGAAATCCGAAATGATGCTTTCGAGAATGCGAGAATTTACAAGGAGAAGACCAAGGCATTCCATGATGAGCGCATAACACGAAAGACATTTACAGTGGGGCAGAAAGTTCTCTTGTACCATTCTCGGCTCAAACTATTTCCTGGTAAACTCCGTTCTCGATGGGTGGGACCATTTGTTGTCACAAAGGTGTGTGAGCATGGTGCAGTGGAGATTCGCAGTGAAGATACGGGGAAGGAATTCAAGGTGAACGGCCATCGACTCAAGCCGTACTATGAGGGTCATCAGGTCCAAAACGTTGAAGTGATGGAGCTAGAAGTTCCAAATTATGACAACTAGCATGCTGAAAAGGCGTCGAGCTAACGACGATAAATAAAGCGCTATTGGGAGGCAGCCCAAATTTATTTTGTTTGTTTTTGTCATTTTATTTTTAAGTTTATATTTCTGTTTTCTTTCTTAAAAAAAAAAAAAAGAGAGAGAGATCTATTGCTTTTTCTTATTTTTAAGCCCCTTATAAGATTCAGGAAACTAATTCTGCTTTTATTTGGTGTCCGTTGTTGCACGACAGTGAGATTGGCTGGAACAATCAACTGCTGGTGGAGTCACAGCTAACCTGAAACAAAACCGGCCATATTCGATAGTGTTTACAGCAAGTTATGAGCAGGCCCAAGCTTGGGGGATGCCAACAGGGAGCTACACAGTCCATGTTCACAGTTTGCCAACTGCATCCAGTGAGCTCGTTTCCTTCTCTCTATCTATTTCTCCTCTTTATTCATCATGTTCTTATATTCTTTAAGTCACACATTGAGGGAAATGTGTGAATAAAGCTTGGGGGGAGTGCATTCAGTTCTATTTCTTGGTTTTGAGTCTGACAGTTTGTTTTTGGACAGTGCTTTGCATATATGATTCCATATCCACTCTACAATGCTTAACTTTGGCTTATAGACTTGTATGTATGCAGACTAATTTCTTTAAACAGTCGCCAGCCTGATGGAAGTCAATATTGTGGTGTTGTAATAAGAAAGAAATGATTTAGGCATTAAGGTATTTGCACCCCATAAGCCAAGAAGCTTAGCAATGACATGATCCATTAAAAATCCCGATTTGATAATTATTAGCCTATTTTTCTGATTACACTTATGAGTCATTGTCTGAAATTTGAAATTTGCCACTCTAAGATTAGTAGAGCATATGCAGTGTGAAGAAGATTATGGTTGTTATATTGATTTGATCCGTTGTTGTTTTATTCAAAAAGTTTCATATTGAAGGCTCTATGTACCAATGTATGGGCTTAAAAAAAAAATAAAAAAAAATAAAAAAAAAAAAGCAGTTGAGCCTATATATGTACGTGTGGTGTTTAATTTATGTATCGTAGTTGAGTAACTCGAGTTAGTAAATCCGTAGGGGTTTCTTCAAACCTAGTGCCTTGGGCCAACTGGACCGGGAGTCATTGGTTGAAAGCTCGTTACATGGGTTGCTTGACAGATACATGGCATTAAGAGTCATGAAACATTAATAAAAAAAAATAAAAAAAATAAAATTGTGGGATTTATTTCAGTATACATGATGATAATTGCTGCTCTACGATTCTTACTCTACCATCACACTCATATATACTCTTCAAACCTCACTTTACCTTGGCCCATTTCATCCTTAATTTGTGTCCTAATGATCTTTGAGTTATTCTGCTACTCTGTTGATGGAAACTAGGCTATGATTATTTAAGAGTTGGTATTTTGGTTCATAAATTCTTGAAATTTATTTTCCACCTGCATATATACTTGACTTGAAGCTGTCATTGAGCAAAGTAGAGTAAGTGGAACATGTCAGGTTACAAATTGTTATATCAAGAGTCTAGCTCCTTAGTAATTTTATGTCTTTGCTTGAGGGCAAGCAAAATTAAAGGGTCAGTTGGGCAAGAAGCCTTCTTCCTTCAAAAAGAAGCATGTGAAAGATCGTGTGCCTACTCCTCACCCTAAACCAAAAGGGGCGGACGGGCCCATGATCGACCTGTCTAAACTTCGTTTTCCTGAATCAGGGCAAAGGAAGGCCATCCGGCAAGTTTAGCCGGATGGGTCAAAAAGGACTTACTGAGATGCCCGGATGTTAATCCAGCAGAAGAGACGAAGTTAGCAATTGTCTCAGTCGGCCTCAACGTCGACTTACCTAGACAGTTTCTAGAATACTTTAATGATGTATTCGGATTCAAACCGAGAAAGTCAGTCACGCAGCATGTCTGCACGAACTGGCCCTCAGATTATCCAACCGGCTCCGTATGTGCCCCAACAACCATACATACCGTATGGATCCCCATACATGCAGTCGGCCCTCTTTGGTGGTCAAATGGCACAAAATGTCCAGCCCATGGACTGGAAGCTTCGGCTGCTAAACCTTTGGGAACAGCCGTCGGCGTTCTCCAGAGAGATAACCGAGGCGGCTCAGCCGGCCAAGGTTAAGAACGTGTTGGTTGGTACCTATAATGGTATCACCAACCCGGAAGACCACCTAATGGCTTATACCAATCTAATGTACTTACAGGGGTTGGATGATGTCGCCTGGTGCCGATGCTTCCCGGCAACATTAAAGGGCATAGCCCAACGATGGTTTGGCAATCTGCCTGCCGGGTGCATCAACAACTTTAAGGCGTTGGCATACCTGTTTGCGTCCAACTTCTCTATGAACATCTCTGCTAAAAAGACAAGTCTCGACTTGGGGGCTATTCAACAGGGAGATAGAGAAGGACTAACGTCTTATGTTAGGCGATTCAATCTTATGAGAATTCAGATTCAAAGGCTGTCTGACGAAGTTGCCTACACAGACTTCTTTAAGGGTCACAAGGACGGGTCGACCTTTAAGTTCGACCTGGTCAGAAAGAGGGTTGCTACCCTCCAAGAGGCATTAATGGAAGCAAAAGCCTACATACAATCGACGGAGCTCTGTGCCATCAAGCAGCCATCGGATCTTAAAAAGTCCGATAAGAAGGAGAAGCCGGTCTACTTAGCCGGCTAAAAAAGAAGAGAACAAGAAAATAAAAGAAGTTTGGGTGGCGGACCATTCTGGTCAGCCGTCCTAGAAGAAAAAGAGAGAGTTGAAGTTGTACGTCCCCAAGTACGAGATCAACAAGGATTGCTCCTCCATCCTCATGGAGATCAAAGACCGGTTGACCATTGAAAAATCGGCTGCAATGAAAAGTCCCATCAAAAGCCAGGACAAGAGCAAGTATTGTCATTTCCATGAGCATATAGGCCATGACACCAATGGCTACTATAGCCTCAGGCGGTTACAAGACCGTCTAACTAATGAGAGGGCTTTGAAGTCCTATATGCTGAAGTCCAAGGGTAACCCCAAAACAAACAAAGAACAACCGTCTAAGAAGCCTGACAACCTTGCTATAAGCTCTGACACTGATGAAGAGCAAATCTTTACTATAGCAGGCGGCTTCACGGGAGGGGGTCCTACCATCCGGGGTACCAAGGACAACATTAGAAAACTGGAGGTCAACTCAGTGGATGAGGGCCAGGCGTCGAAAAACATCTTCCTTGAGGTCATCATCTTTGAGAAGGACCGGGGCAAGGTCAGGCGGCCTCATGATGACCCTATAGTCATCGAATGCAAAGTTGCCAACCAACGAGTGGGTCGAATCCTTATTGATACCAGGAGCTCGTCTAACCTTATAAGCTATCGGTGTTTGGCGAAGCTCAAGTACAAGCCGAGCAGCATGCACAAAGTCTCTCACCCCTTAGTTGGTTTTGGGGGAGGGGTTTGTGCATTCGGTGGGAAGGATTGACCTACCCATCCGACTAGGAGAAAAAGGGGAGAGACGACACATGGTCGTCAAGTTCTTGGTGGTCGAGGAATTGACCGCCTATAATCTGATTTTGGGCCGTCCAACCCTGAATGAGTCCAAGGCAGTCATCATCCCATCCTTCATGCTGATCAAATTTGAGAGGGAAGATGGGTCAGTGGGTTCCCTCAATGGGGATCAGAAGACGACGAGGGAGTGTTATCTCTTAGACGTCAAGCCTACTGTGGTCGCAGCCGGCCAAGGCGAGGAGCCCATTGACCTTGATGACTTCAAGAAAGTCGCACCTGCTCCCAAAGCAGCCAACAAAAAGAGAAAGGCGAACCACCTAGTGGCCGTAAAAAAAAGAGAAGCAAAAGCAATCACTGATCGTGGAACGGTCAGACGATCTCCGTCCCCAGCCGGCTGGTGAAAATATTGACATTGTTCTAGATGACAGCCGTCCGGAGGGAACCTTTAAAGTGGGGACAGTTGATTTTGCCAAGTTGGGCGCAGATCTGCACCAGCTGCCAAAAGTATTCAAAGAAATTTTCGCCTTTGAAGTGGAAGAGATGTCAGGCGTCAGCCTGGATCTTGCTGCCCACAAACTCGCCGAGGATCCAAAAAAGAAGCCGGTTAGGCAAAAGAAGAGGAACCACGGCGACGAAAGATCTCAGGCGGCAGCCGCCGAGGTCAAGAAGCTGCTGGATGCGGAGTTCATTCAGCAATGCTACTATCCGGATTGGGTAACAAACATTGTTTTTGTTAAAAAGTCGAATGGTACCTGGCGAATGTGTGTCGATTACACAGATCTGAATTAGGCACGTCCAAAGGATAGCCATCCACTTCCAAAGATTGATAGTCTGGTCGATTCTACAGACGGTCATGCCTTGATGAGCTTCATGGACGCCTATTCAGGCTACCATCAGATACCCTTGTGGAAAAAAGATTAAGAGAAGACGGCATTCGTCACTGATCAAGGGTTATTCTGTTATACGGTGATGTCGTTTGGGCTGAAAACGCGCCTACTACCTTCCAGCGAATGATTAATATAGTCTTCATTAATCAAATTGGGAGGAATGTGGGACGTACATCAATGACATGATAGTCAAATCTAAGCTACAAACGGATCACCTTGCTGACCTCCGAGAAACCTTCACCACCCTCAGGCGGCATAAGGTCATGCTTAATCCCAAAAGGTGTGTTTTTAGAGTTGAGTTTGGGAAGTTTCTCGGATTTTTGATTGATCAAAGGGGGATAGAGAACAACCCAGAAAAGGTACAGGCGGTAATTGACATGAAGTCACCCCGCACTGTCAAGGAAGTCCAAAAACTTACCGGTTGTTTAGCGGCATTGGGGAGATTCCTCAGCCGGTCAAGCGACAAGTGCCTCAACTTCTTCCAGGCAATCAAAAAGAAGACTAGATTCGAATGGGGGGGGGGGGGAAATGCTGAGGCGGCCTTTCATAAATTGAAAGAGCACCTCCACTCATCGCCACGGCTAGTCAGCCCTCTAGCAGGAGAGGTTCTCTATATGTATTTGGTTGTCTCATATCATGCCCTCTGTGTCGTTCTCCTAGCTGAGAGAGACGACATTCAGCTCCCGGTCTATTTCATTAGCCATGTTATTCGAAATGCAGAGTTGCGGTACCCCTTGGTTGAAAATTTTGGCCTTGCCCTGTTCATGGAAATCAAGAAGTTGAAACCATACTTCTTGGCACATCGGGTGGTGGTCTACACAAACCAACCCCTCAAGCGGCCAATGACAACCTTGGAGTCATCCGGCAGAATGCTCAAGTGGGCTATTGAAATGCAAAGTCTGGAAATCACCTTCGAACCAAGAAAGGCAGTGAAGGGTCAGGCGTTCGCCGACTTCATTGTGGAAATGACAAGGCCAGCTCAACCGGACCATGTTGATCGGGTTTGGAAGGTATATATGTAGACAGGAGCTCTACAATGAACGGCTGTGGTGCAGGCGTAATTTGCAAGTCTCCTGAAGGGGACAAGTATGAATATGCACTCCGGTTCAAGTTCCAAGCCTCGAATAATGAGGTAGAATACGAGGCCCTGCTAGCCAGTATCCGCATGTGTAAGGCGGCATGGGCAAGAAAAGATGACACCTGCTCTAATTCACAGTTGATTGTTAGCCAATACCATGGTGACTACGAGGCCACCCATCCGGCTATGATTAAATATATGCAGGCGGTTAAAGATGAGGCCGGGACACTTGACGAATTTCATCTAAGTCAGGTGCCCAGGTCAGAAATAGCCAAGCGGATGCGCTGTCTAAGTTGGCATCATCTGCCTTTTGTGATGCGCCTAGGTTAGTCTGTTGAAAGTCATGGAAAAAAGAAGTATTGAGCATGATCCCATTAGAGTTCTTGACATAAGCTATATCTGGATGGATGTCATCCGGGCTTATTTGGCAGACGACACTTTGCTAGATGCCCCTTCAGAAGCGGCTGCATTGAAGAAGCGAGCCACAGGTTTTGAGATCTACAAGGGAGAACTCATCAGGAAGGGTTACTTCCAGCCGCTGCTGAAATGTGTTACCTCTGAAAGGGGGAAAGAAGTTCTAGAGGATCTACACTCGGTCTTTTGTGCATCACATATAGGCGGCAGAACTCTAGTAAAAAGGGTCAGGCCACAAGGCTACTTTTGGCCCACTCTTGAGGCAGACGCCATGGAAATGGTAAAGAAGTGTGATAAGTGTCAAAGATCACTAGGCAAAAATTGCTAATTAGCATCGGTTCAAAACCCCCATTTCGCACCGATTTTTAACCGGTTTTGATTTGAGGAGCGCCAAATCCCAAGACTTTTCGCACCGATTCAAAACCGATGCGAAATTTATTTTTCGCACCGGTTCTTAATGTGAACCGGTGCGAAAAAGTCCTCAAAAATATAAAAAAAAAAAAAACTTTTAACACCGGTTCTTTCTGTGAACCTGTGCCTAAAGTGGCCCAAAAAAATTAAAAAAAAAAAACTTTTAGCACCGGTTTTGTTTCAAAACCGGTGGTAAAAATGCCCCAAAACAATAAAAAAAAATTTTCTTGCATTTTTTTCACTTAAATTGATATATAAACACTAACATATATATAAAGTTACATATTTTCATTAAAATAGGCTATAATATTACAATTTTCGTCTAAAAAAATAAAATCATAGTTTGTCTCATTACTAAAAGACTACCAGAGCATCTATAGCGAGGTCCACCTCCTCAACGCATTTAATACAAAACCAGGATTGCTCTGGACAACAATCTCTAGTGCCCCACTGAGATCATCAGTGGATAGCCTTGTGACTTGTGAGCGCTATGCCAAGGTTAAGCGGAGCCTTCCTCTATATCAATGTGCTATGCCTTCCCTTCCAACGCCAATACCAGCCTTGTCAACCATGGGAACATCATACTGCTAATATATTCGAGTTCAGTTAACAGCCCACCATTGCTCTGCTTCCTTTTCACTAAACCTCTTTCGACTGCGCCACAGGAAGGAAAATTGGCTTTGTAAATTAGGGGAAAGAAAACTCACAGAATATAAAATAAACAGGTTGGAACATTCAACGAGCCTAAGGTGATTAAATTGGAGTAATGTATTTTGTTTTTTTGTCTATTGATTACTGCACATTAAGTTTTCAGACAGTGTACATTAATTTGGAAGCATTAAACATAACACTTTTTAAGGTAGCAAAACAAATGGTTGGAAGATGTCTGCAACAAATGAGCACTGCAAGTATAGAACCTAGCCTCCTTGTTAACACCTTAATATTTACTAGAGAGCTCCACAAGCAAAAAAATGACACTCTAAGTGCCTTTATAATCAAAGTTGATCAATATATATTAAATACATTACAGTTCATTGTAGCAAGCCAGCAGATATCAGGTCACAACAAGTGAAATTCATAATGCATGCGCGCGCACACACACAGATGGTGCAACAGAAGGGTGTTAGCGGGAAAGCTACGATAATACCAATCAGACAGCAAAATCAAGTTTATTTGTACATTAAGTGCACATTTACCTAACACTGGATTAACTTAGATTCTTAATCAAGAACATCAGCAGTTCCACATATAAGAATATTTCAATCAACAAATTACCTGAAGCGGACGCGTTTTAAATCTTTAATACCATTAGGCATTGACACAAGGGTGATGTACACACCAGGCTCGTCTTGCTCAACCCATTCAGGTCCAATATTAGCTTCGCTATCAGATGTTCTGTTCTTATTTTTGCATGAAGCCTCCAACTGACCTGTTACAAGGTTGTTTGAGGCACGACTGCTGGGAGTAGTCGATCCATTTGAAGAATCATGACGATTTGACCAATTCAAAACAATTTCATGAACAGCCACTGGACTGTTAAGTCGATCCATTACATTTGAAACATCATTTGACAGATTTGGCCCTGGGGAACCTGGTACAGACACCTTGCTGTTTCTTACTGCTCCAAGAGGTAACCTCTCAGCCATTTCCTTCAACTAAAACCAGAGAACCCCCCCCCCCCCTTCCCTCACCTCTAGTCTTGACAGAGTACCAAAAATATATATGGGTTTAGTAAAACGGTATTCCAAATTTAATCACACAATCAAGAGAAATCAAGTTAAAAAGACATAGCCTCTTAAACCAAAGCCTTTAAAAATCAATTCTTGTTCTACCCTTCTAGGTAAATAATGCATCTCAAAAGTAGATTCTCAAAAGTTCTCCTAAGTTCAAGAACCACAGTCATCTCACAACAAACCAATTGCAAGGGCAGGCCGGAAACATGCTCACAGTTTTAGCAAAACTACTAATAGAAATCAAGCATGTCACCTAAAAAACTTCCAACCTCTTAATCTCAAAATCAATAACTTATATTGCAATTGTGGTGTAAGAGCCCCAGAAGGAATGACTCCAGCCATATAAGCAAAGAATACACTAGCAATCAGAAGCACTTGGTCAATGACAGGGACCCAGCTAGATGCAGCAGCACTCTCAAAGTCCATCATAGTTCCCAAGCAGCTACACCTCATGGGACTTCCATTAAAAACAGGAGTTATGAAAGTAACTGCAAAAGACATAGTACTACGCTTGCTGACTCTCCATGAAGGAAGTGATGCAGACCTATAATTTCTGGTGAGAAAAATATTAGAAGTTGTCAAAAGCTCCATAGAGGTACTTTTGCAGACATATAATCTCTGCAGAGAAAATTATTAAAAGTTGTCAAAACAAATTATATATTAAGACTGCCCATCTCCCCACAAATTAAGTTAATTTGTAATTAACATGAAACGCGCAGCTCAAATAAGTGCATAGTTGACATACTCCTGCAGAATTACACCAGGTCATGCCAATGACAGTTTGTCCTTTAAACTTATACACGAAAACACTAACAACAAATTCCTATTCCAAAGCAGAAGCCTCATTTTTTAAAGAAAGAAATAGCAAAAGGCAGTAAAACATGCCTTGCAAATTGCTTCGATCAGTACAAAAGAGATGACTTCTAGAAAGTGTTAGTGACAAAATTGGAATGAAAGTCGGTAACATCTGGAATATGTAATTATGAAGAGCGAGCCTAAAAGGGGTTGTCAAACATAAGAAAAATGAAGCTTCAAAACAAAGAATACGAAAATTGTAACTAACAAATTTCTCAAGATGCTAAGTGCCGAAGGTGTTCAACCCCAAGAAACCATCATAATAGTCCAATCAACACATCCAAAAGTCCCTAACATCACAGCTGAAGCTAAACCTCGTACTTCCAATAGGCATTTTGGGGAGCTACATATCCATAAATAGGCAATATTAGAGCAATATTTATAGACTTGGCTCCACAAAGTTATGTTATACACCCGTTGCAAATGCTTAAACATCACAAACAGGCACCATATTGTCGAATTTTGAGGTGAAATGAGCCCACATTATATCAATTTCTTCGATTCGACTACAATACGATTCTAGTAACCGCAAAATAACAACCAAAATGAACAGTTTTATCATAATTTTTTTTGAATGAAAAGAAGGTCACTAATTGCTTGGGATTTCTTTGCCCCACAAATATTCCAACTCATAAATTTTGGACTAATCATAAAAAACTTTTTGTAGATTAATGAACCTGGAAATGATATCAAAAAATGTCAATAATGTATCTATGATATAAAAGGGCCTAAGAAGGATGATCAAGAGAAGAAATCCAAACATCCACAGTAGAGTGTATGATATTACAAAATAAAAGGATCCACTATAAACAAATGTGCAAGGAAACTGTGACAAAATAAGATTACATGCCACAAGAAGGTTATACAGAGTAAAATTTACAAAAATATGTACAAAGCAATAAAAAGAGTATTCAACAATGAACAAGACCAATAAAATAAAGACTAGATAAAATGCTATAAGAAGAAATATCATCAACACAGGAAGACCAAATTGAGAAGGAGAAACAGAGCTATATAAAATACTTGAGTCCAACAACATGTTTAAAGTATACAAGTCCTAGAGTATCTAATAAATAGCAAATGACAAAGCAGCATGAGGTAAGTTGCAAGTTATGAAGAAACAAATATATAATGAAAATGAAAAAGTCTAAGAGGATCCAACCAAGGTACTCAAACAGTGGGACAATAAAAATTCAATTCCATGAAAACTGAAAATAGTAGTTCAGAGTCTTAATAGAATTAAAATGGCCATGTCGACAAAAGTCGTAGGTAATACATGAAATACATAAAATTGGATTACCCCAAAGTATAAAATGGTCAACAAGAGTTACAAAAGCATAGAGAAACTTAAGAAATGACTACGAGTAAGATACAACAGAATAGACGATACATCCAACAATCATCATAACACGCAGTGATAAGAAATGACATCAGAATAGGCAAATAAAAGAAAATTTTACCAACATATTATCAAAATTAAAAAGCTTAAGAAATGACACGACATTGAAAAAAACAAGACATATACTCATAATTTTCAGAAAATTGATTGGTATATTAACGAGTCTTATAAAATAGGAGTACGAAGTAAAAAATTGGTAAAATTAATAGATACATTTGAATAAAATATCTGCGATAGATATAAGTTTAACCCAAAAAAAACGAAAAAAGGAAAGAAAAAAAAGGTGTAAAAGTAGAATTACTACTACTGTATATACAAGAAAACATTTTGGCACCCTTGTTAACTCTTTTAAACATTACTCTTCTTTCTCTTTCTTCAGCATCTAACACATTCACAGGTTCATTTTTCTCTCTTAATTCATCAAATTCAATCTTCTTTATCATTCTTGCTTCAAACATCTCAATTAAATCAACTTTTCTCATCAAATTTTGCAGGAATTGAAAGAATCAAACTACTTTCTCGCGCTCTAATATCGAGCGAGGTATTCTTTCACTTTCTAACCAGCTGCATTTGAAGTTTAATTTTATCATACCAACATGAAAGCACTTTTGTCAAAGGATGAGGTGAAATGAACCCACATTATAGCAACCACAAAATAACAACCAAAATGAACAATTTTATCATACCAACATAAAAATTACAAACGAAATTCGGAGGAAGAGCAATCACCTTGGAAAATTTTTGGGGTATGAATTCTGGGGTTTGAACCAAGACCCATTTGTTTGCAATTGCAGCTTAAAATTTGATGGCACAGTCCCACATTTCGCCATTTTTCTAGAGTTTCAATCTCACCCAAATGCTCAATACATTTTATTCTCCCAATCAAATACGAAAATAAGAACTTCGTTTATGCTTGAATCTACTGAAAATTAATTATAAACTAACAAAAATCAATATCTAAACAAACAACATATTCATTAATTTTCAAAGAAATGGGATAAAATTCTAAATAAAAAAAGGCGTAATTGAAGTGGGATTTAGGGAATTGGGGGTGAGAAAATGGTAAATTAGATGATACCTGGAAGTTAATTTTCATGAATTCATAATGTTAGAAGGAGAGAGGAAGGAAGGAATGGGCTGAGTTTATGACTGGTTCTGCAAAGCTGAATGATGGTGGAGGTGGAGCCGTGCGCGCTTCAATGACAAACCCTAGATTACCACAACCCTAAAATTACTAAGCTAAATTGAAAAGCAAATCAACGACAAACCCTAGATTGCGAAGGGATTCGATAAATTAAGAAGACCACAGAAAAAATCTTACCTCGAAGCTGCTTCAATGGAGGTGAGAAAGCTCAGAATCTGCTTCAATGGAGAATAAAAAGCACGATTTCAATGGAGGAGAGATATGGAGATAGGAGGTGCGACTGCTTCAATGGAGTGAGAAAGCTCATAAACGGCTTCAATGGAGAAGGTGGGAATTCGGAGGTGGTGGAAGAGAAGGCGAGAACGAGGGAAAAAAGAAGATGGAAAAGCAGGGGGAAAGAAAGGATGAAGAAGAAAAACGCGAGCCCGACTTTTTTTTAAAAAATTTCCACCGGTTTGGTCTGAACCGGTGCGAAATCCCTTTCACCCCCTTTTTTTTCTCTTTTTAAATTCGCACCGGTTTATTAGGAACCGATGCGAAAAGTCTTTTTCCCAATCCCGTCCATTTCTTTTCCCACCGGTTTTCAAGAACCAGTGCGAAAAGTGCAGTGCCTATTTCATTTTTTCTACTAGTGGATTCGGCCGGCTCATACACCGTCCGGCTACTGATTTGACGGCTATCTACAGCCCGGTTCAATTTGCAAAATGGGGCATGGACATCCTAGGTCCATATACGCTTGCTACATGCGGACGGAGGTATATCTTGGTGGCTATAGATTACTTCACCAAATGGATTGAGGCAGAGGCGATCAAGGGCATTAAGACAAAGGATGTCATCTCTTTCATCTGGAGAAACATCATCACCCGGTTTGGGGTACCTATGTCTATGGTCTTTGACAATGACCCTTAGTTTGAAACGCCTACCCTCAAGAGCTGGTTGGGAGATCAAGGGATCTCATATTGTTTTGCATTAGTCGGCCGTCCCCAAGCAAACGACCAAGTTGAAGCCTTCAACAAGCTCATCTCAGACGGCATTAAGAAGGAAATTGAAAGGGCTGGAGGTCTATGGGCAGTTGAGTTGCCTCATTTCCTATGGGCCATCAGAACAATCGAAAAAGGGGCAACCGGTGAAACCCCGTTTCTTATGACATACCGCACTGAAGATGTCCTGCCTATTGAACTTTATGAGCCAACACTTCTAATCATGCTCTATGATGAAGAGGCTAACTGGGAGGCCATGCGTCTAGCATTGGATTCACTCCCGGAGCGCAGGGGCAATGTCGTCTTGCGTCATGAGATATACTGTCTGAGAATGACGAGAGCCTACAACAAATGAGTAACAAACAGCCCCTAAAAGTGGGGGCCTTTGTGTTATGGAAAATGGAGGCAACCGGTAGGGCTAATGAGCAAGGAAAGTTAACCCCTAATTGTGAGGGCCCCTACCGGATTTTTGAAGAAGTTAGAGGCGGCACCTACCGCCTGGAAACTCCAGACGGCAGGCAATTTTGCCAGAAATGTAGATAACTTGAAATAGTACTACTTTTAAAGACTTGTAAACCTTTGTAAATAGAGTATATTAATAAAAAAATGATTTATTTTCATGGTCTTGTGTACAAAGTCCCATCTATGCAATGCACAACCGGGCAACCGTCTACTCTAAACTGAGCAGACATAGGCTAATATCAAACTTAGCAGCTATTTATAAGGCCAATGGCCGGATAGTTTTCAAACCGCCTGCTCCAACATGAGCAGACAACCGGCGACGCCCATTTAGGTGAATTCGTCGAAGAGAGCATCTCCCATTTGGGTGGTATATTGTTCTATAAATCATAACTCAAGCGGCTTTAACTGACTGTCTAGGTTAAAGATAACTCACGATCGTTTGAATGATCAATTGAAACCTAGATACAACCGGTCATTGCTTCAAAGGAACACAGACAGTAACTAAAATCTTGGTCAAATGTAACTAGTTTTTGCCCAAAAGCACTACAGCGGGTTACAAACCCAAATTGAGCAAGGTCAAAACCTTAGCAATTAATTCATAACTTGGTTATGATGCATACGCCCGGCCATTGGCCGCCAGCATCCCAACAAACGACAATGACAGATACCCAAAGGATAACTTGAAGTTGGTTAAAAGGATAATCTAGGTTGGCCCTAACCGGCACCGTCTGCTTATCCAACTTAGAATAATTCTACTTCTTTAAATACGGTCAATGACCGCCTAACTTTCCGTTCGGATGCTTGTTTGGACTGCTGCCAGCTTAGAGTTGGGTAATATTAAGCAAACAACCGTCTAGGGGCAAGTAGAGCCAATGCATCCGGCATACCGCACATACCGAATCAAATTGCAAAAAGAAAAAGATTTGTAAGAGAAAAAATTGCAAAAATTAAAGCAAATTATGTCAAAGGCAAAACCGACTTAGTCGGCAAAATATATTAATAGAAATGACTGTCAGCCGGACATAAGTCCGGGGAAAGTAGATACATCAAAAGTACATGGCTCGCAGGCCGGAGGTTGAAAAAAGAAACAAATCAAGTTATTGCTGCTGCTGACGCTGAGACGTCTAGCCCTGGCCGAAAGGAGGAGTGTCTTGAGTTTGATGGGCTTAAGCTTCGTTAGTCTCACCCGGCGCTTGTTCTTCCGCCTGTTCCTCCTCTTCTTCCTCGGCAATGCCGGCCCATTCCTTAAAGGGAGCCGGCTTCTCTGTTCCGAGAACCTGGGCATCGAACAACTCTGTGGCGTACTTGTACCGCAGGTCAAAGAAAGCCCAGTCAGTTCCAGACCAGGCCATCTTCATGCGCTCTACACAGTCGCGCTCATTCTCGGAGATCGGTCGGTCTTGCTCAGCCGCCAGCTTTTCCTTATGGCCCGCCTTGGTTTGGGCCAGCTCATTCTTTAGGCTGTTGACCCCTGATCGCAGCTTAGTGTTCTCCTTATCAGCCTCCCCCAATCCTTTGACATCAACTTGGAGATTTTTAACTTGAAGTTCGAAGTCAGCCGCCTTCTTGTTGGTCGTGTCAGCAGCAGCCGTGAGCTCCTTGATTAGCTCCTCCTGTTTCATCTCCCGACTTTTAGTTTTAATCCCATACATTAAAGTGTTGTATTGGGTAACATCTATGAGATCGGCTGCCCTTCCATTGGCATCCCTTACCTCCTGCTTATTCCGCAAGGGGACCTTCATGCCGTCCACCCTTAGCGTCACCTGCAAAGTCAGTCGGAAAGAGGTTAGTCTTTCAATTACGCTACAACCGGCAAAAGAATAAAGTGACACAAAAGCACCCCAACCGGTCAATTAGCTCAGCGAGCAGTGAGTTGATGCGGTCTATGTTGAACTGATGTACACCTGGCACCGCCTCCTTCTCGGACTGGGTGAGGGTCCTCAGCATCCTCTTGGCATAATTTTGGAGGTCAAGCTAGCGAGAAGAGGCATCTACATCAATAGATTTATTGGTTAAGTATTGAGTATAGGCGGCACCTACATTCTGCCGGCTGCCTGAAGAATCCCCTGATTGGGCAGCTTGGGACTTGACTCGCATAGGCCCAAGCGGCCAGGGGGGATAAAAGGTGAGAGTCGTACCTTGATTTTCAGGCTGAGAGGTCATCCCACCCCCAACCGCATTGAAGCAGGACGCTACAGCAAGCACCCGGCTTGGGGGAATTTCGGGCTCCCTCGTTTCAACCTTAGCCGTCCCTGTGCTTAGGCCAAGGTCTTTCAGGCTTTTTCCTTCTGAGGTGGGCCTCTCAAGCATAGGCGGCCTTCAAGTAAAGGCAGGGGCAGCCAAAACCCTTCTGGATTTAGAAGCAGGTTGGGAGGGCTCCTCTCCCGGTCTCTATAACATCTTTATTAAAGAACGAGGAACATTCTTGCTCCCTGTCTGAAAAAGAAAATAAAACAGCTAGTTAATATCATAATTAACTTCAAACCATACAGACGGTAAAATAGCTCAGCCGGCGCTACCCATCATCTTTGGCCGCCAGTTGGGCCCTCTTCTTCTTTATCTGATCCTTCCGGATCTGTGCAACAGATTTAGTAGGCGTCTTTTTAGGAGGCACCATCTCTAATCCTTTCTCTGCAAAGAAAATCAAAAAATCAAATGCCATTTAAGAATGATACAAACGGCATAAAGTGCCGGTTAACAATCAACATACGTCAGCTAAACATTGCGTTAAGGCCACAGGCGGAAAGGAACGCCTCATCCTTTAGCCAGTCTGGATGAGGGACCTAGTTCTTGGGGACAATGACTTTAGTCCCATCATCCAAAGGCAGGAAAGTCTTCTTAAAGAGCCCTGTCTCCATTATTTGAGTATAAGATTCTTCCGGTACTCTAGGAAGGGCGCATTTCTTTCTAAGGAGAGCCGGGTGTGTATTGTAGCGACGCAGCCGGTGGTTTTGACGCAGCGATGGGGAAGAAACCATGTAAAACTTGCTCTTCCAGCTGCTCCATTCTGACGGCTTGTCAAGCGTCATCATGTATTCCGGATGCGTGGTCAATGTATACCACACATTCCAGCCGCCTGAGGCACGACTGTGTACTACACAACCAGGTAAATTTTGAGGCCAAAGGCCGGATTCTCTTAATTATTGTATATTGTAGTCTCGTTTGTGCAATGCACAACCGGGAAAACTTTGAGGCCAACGGCCAGATTTTATCTTAAACCAACCGCCTGCTCCAACATGAGCAGGCATCCGGCGACGCCCCTTTGGGTGAAATCGTCAAAGAGAACATCTCCCATTTGGGTGGTACATTGTTCTGCCAATAACGTACAACCGGCTAAAAACTAACTTTCCAGGTTAAAACAGTCACTTGAATGTGCAATTGAAATCGAGATACCTCATGTGGTACCTAAGTGACACATATAGTTCCCGAAATCTCGATCAGAGTTACATGGCTCTTGCTCAAAAGCATCACAACCGGTCTCTCGCCAACCACTCTTCACTTGAGAAGAATGTAAAGGTTGAGATGTAGCCGCATGACGCTCCAAAGTAGCACAAGTGGCCGCTCAAGGCACTCAGCCGGTTATCAACCCAAGTTAGCTATTAAAATTGAGACTTTGACATCACCGCATGTCGCCCCAAAGTGGCATAGTCGGCATTTAGGGTCTAGATCAGGTAAAATTGGTCCTCACCTTAAGGTACTACAACCGGTCAAAGGCTGCTTGTTTCTTATCAAACTTCGAAGAATGATTACCCGAAGGGTAACAAACACTCGGTTAAGCGACGGGCA